TGCTTACACCCCCACTCTCTGCCCAAATATAATTGGAGAGCAGGACTCAACTTCTAAAGTGAGGTACTAGAAGTCAACAGTGGCAACACAGCATAAGGGCCTTTATGGAACTACGAAAAATGACTTCTTCACAGAAATGAAGGAGCTATCTGATTACATGGGAAGAGGCATTAAAATTAACCTTGGGTGCCCTAAATCTCAATGTAGTAAGCTAAAAGAGACACACGCACACAAATTCTCTCCTCTGAGGTGCCAGTGCCTTCTAGAGGTCAAGAATGAAGCTGAAGGCATTTGCACTGAGTTAGAAGAAATATAATTCTGGAGAAGATAAGAAAAAAACCTGAGAAACAGAAATAATGAAATAGTAAATGACAATATCCAAATGGCCCATCTCTGGTTTTCAGACATAGCCAAAGGAATGTCATGAGCTGATTACAGGAGCTGCTTCTTCAGGCTGCTTAAACACGGGCATAAATCCTGTACCAGTTCATACTCCGCAAGCTCCTTTGACTATGCAACCATAGGGGATAAAAACATTCAGCTGAAGTAGATATGTATTAAACCTTTTTCACATTACCAGAGGCTGCTTCTGCTGCAAATAATGTGATTTTTTAACCTCAGATACCTCCCAGCTTCACAAACAATAGAGGCAACATTACTGTCTCTGTTTAAATGTGCGGCTTTATGTGATCCTGATAGTATTTCAGCATCTTTTGTAGAAAAGAAGTCACATGATTTTGCTGAGACAATTTTTCCTGTGATTTTGACCAGTGCTCACCTTTGCTCCTCACCTAAATTCCCATCCAAATCTAAATGTTACAGAGATGGCTGGGCATTGTAGTAATACAGTCTGTACAAGCTCTGTCTTCTGCCAATACATATGCAGACAGACAGAGCTGCTTCTAGCATCAGTCTCTGAGATGACATTTGCTTTTCTGTGAAGTCTGTTTTATTTATCTGACATAACAGGAGCTGATCTGTACTTAACTGTGCCAAAGAAGGATCATCTTGTCTGCACATTTCTTCCATTCTCTGCCCTTGCTTGAAGTTATTGAGGGCTGGTGATAATGTAGGAGAAATTATATCTTGCCAAAAAAGCTTTGAAACCTTGCCCTAAAAACCATGGCCCTTTTTTTTTTTTCCTTTTCATAATAGTTCCTCTGGAATTCCCCCATAAGAAAACATACTCTTAACCTTCCCAGTGACATTTTAGTTGTACTTGGCAATCATACAGTTCATAAGTATTTTGGCTAATATTCTAGCCCAGCTGGCTATTTCTCTCCCTCTAGTGCACAAAGATTGATAGCCACTCTCCTGGTCTTCATCAGACAAAGCTGGTATTATCAGAAAATCACCCTTTTTTTTTACTGCTTTACTAAAGTGTCAAAATTCAGGGAGTCTCTGGCTTTTTTACATGCTTTAGGCTACTCTAGAGGTAGTGGGGTTTTTTTCAGCAGTTTCTAAAGGCCTCAGGGCCATCCTGTCTTCTATTTTCAGTTTCCTCTCCAGGTTTTAGGGATTACCCTAAACCTACAAAAGCTTGTAGCTAGTGATTCACTACTGCTTGAAAAGGCAGGGAGTATTTTGTGACTATTTACTCTACTCTGTCCCGTTCCAGTCAGGCAAATGCAGTTTTGTTGGATTTGACTTGCCCAAAGAGCACTGGCCTGTAGATTTCCCTGACCCTGTGATGACTATGCTTTCTTCCTCAGGATAAATATCTTGAGATTTCTGTTTCTGTAGCTGGATGACAGGTTGGGATATTGATTGTTTTCAAAACAATCCTTGTCCTATGCTTTCACAGGACAAGGTCATGGTTGGCTTTGGAGTCATTTGCCCCAATACATTATTAGCAGAAATCTTGTGTAAGGAATGAGTGATACAGGCTTCACATGGTTTCATGTAAGAGATAAAGAAAGATGGCTGGTTTATGTGGAAAGTAGCAATACTAAGAATATTCTTTTTTTTTTTTATAAGAATCATTTTCAGGCTATTTGGTACACTTTTTTAAAATTATTTTTTATATGAGTGTTGGAAAAGCCCTGTTAGGCTGTATTCCTTTCCTTTCTGAGAGAGATGAGCTGACTGTGGAGGATGACCTTCAAGGTTACTATAGGCAACAGTGAAACTCACAAAAGATTCATTTATAGAATAAGTGTCTTCCACTGATCTCATTTCACAGGGGAGCAGCCCAAAACACACCAGCTACTCCCCTTTGCCTGAGGAAGATGCTCTCCACTTGCAATTATCTCCTGTGCTCTCTGAATTAGTAATGGTGATGTAGGTCCTGAGTCAGGGAAACTCTTGTGCACTTATGAACCTTAAAGAACACTCTAACCTGAGGCTTTCAAGGCTTTTGTTTGTTTGTTTTCTTCCCCTCCATCAGGAAAGCTGCGATGGGCAAACCAATGTTCTCCCCTGCCTACCCTGTTGAAACTAAGGGATCTCTCCCCTACCTTTAACTGTCCTTTGTTAGAATTCCTTCTATTCTGGCTCTTCTGTACCTCCATCAGCATCTAATGGCTTTGCAATTAAAGTTGTTTAGCTTGAAAACTCACTGGAAAGTGAGTTGAGGAAAACAGTGCAAAACATGGTATAAATTACATTATTTTTGCTCAGTCTGACTCATATTAATTTAGCTTTCACCACCCATTTGGGATAAAACTTATATGAACCACACATTTGAATTTATTTTACTGTATCAGTTTAACTGAAAATGCAATTTGTAAACTAAACTTTTCATAAAGACAAACTTCACTGGTGATACATAAATAATACTATTTACATTAATTTAAGCTCCCCAGTAACATACAATTCTCAATGTGCTGAGTTAGAAAAACAGGCCAAAGTACATGAAGAAGTTACTAGATGCTTCTTAGAGATAAGAAGTGGCTGACTCAAGTGTTGCTTCATTCCTGTATTGAGGTTCGAGTATACAAACTACAATTTTAAAGGCTCTCTTAAACTTTAAAGTGGCAGAGGTGGTGCTTGAAGGTATGTAACAAATCAGAGAGAGGATGTAACAGAGTAAAGTGATGTAAGAAACAGATTGTTAGATACTGATGGAAGAAGATATGTATACACCTGTATATATAAGTATAAATGTCAATTTAGACAGAATTCAAACTCAAAATCCTGAATTGAGCTGTTAGATCTTGAACAGGCTCCTCGCATGATGTTGTAGGCCTGCTCTTTACAGCAGAATCAAAAGGATTAGTCTAATCATCTATCTGAGAGTAGAACAAAGCCCAGAACACAACTCCTGAAGTTCAGACTTCAAGAGCAACAGTCAGCAGCACATCATGCAGATACAACTTCCCTGAAAGCTCAGGTGTGATCTTGGATTTGCTGAGCTTACATGTCAGATGGAGAGCTTAAGAGTGCTACATGCTGCCACTGGTCTGTTGCATGACCCAAAGCATATCCTCTAGCTTCAGCAGGTCCAACTTAAGGACTGTTACAAGGAGTAATAACATTTCTGCTCCTTGGAGGACTCTGCAAAAGTTAACCATTAAAGTTCATGAGAGTGACTGAAATGATCGTGATATAAATCAAATGGAAAGTTACTGAAGCAAAAAACTCTGAGAAATATCTTTCTTTAAGAACAGTTTCTCATGTTCCACTTCCTTCTTTCCACACAGTGGAGGTAAACAGGAGCAGAAACAGCCCTATTAATTTTTCTGATCTCTACAGATTCTTATTCCATCGTATTTAGGTAATGTTCTAAAAGGGGAGCAGTATTTGTGAGTTTTTTTAAGCCTTCAACATCTCTGACCTGAGAAAGTTCAGCTTGCACTTTATATCAGATGTTTAGGTCTGTTTCTTCCTGGAATACAATGCAACATGAAGGATAATGGTATCAGTGTCACCCATACAAGACCCCATTAAATAAGCTGGGCCTTCTTTCATCTGAATTAATCCAAAGTATTTTTTCTTTAACACTTAATCACCACAAATATGTAAACTATTTGTGAGAAAATCTTCCTTGTTGATTTTTAATATTCTTATCTTTCTGTTGAGGCTTGAGAGATCTCAAAAAACATGGAGAGCCTCTAACAAGGGAATGTGTGTTATATAAAAGTAGCAAAGAAAACAAAACAAGCAAAAATTTGAGCAACCTGGTCTTGTGGGAATTGTCCCTGCCCATGCAGGGGAGTTGGAACTAGAACATCTTTAAGGTCTCTTTCAACCCAAACCATTCTATGATCCTATGAAAAATTTGCATGAAATTAATGTTCTTTTCAAACAGCAGAGAGAAACATACCATCCCATATTTGTTTCTTGTTCTTTCAAAACATATTGTACTGCAATGCTCGGAGCCTCCGTTACAAATGATAATGGTAATAATATTAATGTGGGTCCTTATCTGAGACCTGCTGAAGTCAGTTAAAGGCCTTCCATTGATTGCAGGGGATATTAGATCAGGCTCTTTCAGAACATATTTTGGTCAACTCCTGTCCAACCGTTATTTCATATAGGAGAAAGGGGTTTTATCTCCCTTCTGCACTCTGGGCTTCTATCAGCAGAGTGACATCCAAGCGTGTGATCCAAATATGAGAAAAGCCCAGGCTGTCCCCACGGTGAAGCACAGAGGGTGTGGCAGTTTTTAAAGACCCTTGACACAACTGTACATGGGAGAGAAAGACAGAGTGAGGGAAAATAAATCACAGAACAAGACTGGAAGGTAAAGAAGTCGAGAGGTATAAAAGCAATTCTTCAGTTTTTCTAAACCAAAAATAGTCCAGTCATGTTAAGACGTGAGCAGGTGGGAAAGTACAGCTTTGCAGTTTTAAAATTGTGTATTGTTTTTCAGCTGTACAACAAAAGAGAGTTTGAAAAAAGGGAAAAATGTTCCAGCAGGTTTGGAAGCAGGAAGGAGGCTATGCCAAATTATTGCTGATGTTCAGTCTTTACAGGTGTGCTTTCTCCTTCACCTTGATGGGAAATCCCCTCATTTAATCTCCTAAAATGGAGCGGAATGATTGGAAGCAACTTCCTACCCGGTGTCTGCTTTTCAAGGCACAGCGAGGCGACAGGAATGAAGACCCTGCAGGTTTCAGCACATGGATGAACCATCTCTAGCTGGCACAGCATGGCTGGCAGTGGAGTCTGGGGGGACAGCACAGCCCTCCCTAAGGAAGTGTTTAGCAGAGCAGGGGCCAGCACAAGCTGTTTGCAGTGGCTTGCTCTTCCTCTGAATACTTTCTCCCACGCTTCCCAAGAAACCTTGCTTTAGTCTTAAAGTATGACCCATGTCTCATGTGCTGCATTTTAGCAGGGCAGGGCTGACTGTAAGTGGAATGGGCATTTGGCTCACAATATAAAGAATAAAGGTGATTCATGGGGAAAAATGCCTTTAAAATGGTGTCCTATCATTTCCCCATTATACAAAAAGAACTAGATAAAAGAACTAGAACCATTTTACTGCCTCAAAAAATCAAAATAGCCCCCAAAATTGAAAGAACAAGCACAATCCTAATGTATTACTTATTTATGATCTTAATTATCAAATTATTTCAAAACATTGGAAAAATGTTTTCATAAAATGCTATCTGCTGTCAAAATACAAATACTTTACAATGTATTTATTTATTTTAATATTCTGAACTTTACCAGAACTGTCACCTTCTATGTGTTATTTTAGTTTTCTTCTGCCTTTTCACTTTAATTCATTCATATCTTTATTTTTCAAAGCCTTCACATCAATAGAAATATGGTATCTGTGAATGATTAACTTTGTACTGCCAAGCTGACATCATGAAGCAGAAACATTCCAATATTTAGTATTTCAATACTGTTGTTTTGATGCTTCCCAAGAAACCTTTTGGAATTTGTTATATACAGCAAATATCAATATTTTGACTTTTTGCCCCAAATTTGGAAATGCAGTTTCTTCTTACCTGGCATTAAGCTAGTTATCAGCACTATTTTCTTCTTAGTTTTTGTGGGCTATGTAAGAGATTAGACATTCTTTTTGTATCTTGTTTTCATTCCTCTTACTCCACTTATTCTCATCCCAATGCTATAGCCATAAACCCAATACTAGTTCTCTTCCTGGTGCATTCTTTCCATTAATTTTAATAATTTTTTTTTTACTATTATTGTTTTTCACTGTTTTTTACATCCACTAAATGAAGTAAAAGAAATGAAACATTTGACTAAAGTGAACTATACAAGTTAGAACAAGCCTTAAGAAAAAAAATCTATTAATTCTCTTTGATTAATTTCCATCTCTTTAGATTTTTACTGTGATGAAAGATATAATTAAAGATTTTTCACCAAAGGCCTGATCCAAAGCTTGTGAAAGGTAATAGGTGCTATCACAGTTTCATTAAAACTAATTATCAAGGCTCCTGCATGAGGAGGAGTGAGATTTTGAGCATGGTAACTTGTCTGAGTTTTGCAAATTCAAGCTTTGTGTTTTGAAATGAAAATTCCTGTTCATGCAAGTAGAGCCTGCAAGAAGTAATGAACAGAAAGCGGAGTGGAAATCTTGAAATGTTTGTTCAATTAAATTATTTTCATGTGAATGTACTGATTTTTTAAAAGATTTTGCAAGAAATTGCCAAAATGGTTTATAATTTCAATTTTCATGTTCTTTATATTGATGTACTAAATATATGGGACATTCTATACTTAATATTTTAGCTTTTCTTATCATAGCATTAGCCAGAACTTCAAGGCCTTAAATAAATATTGTAACTTAATTAAAAAAAACAACAAAAAAACCCAACAATATCCAGAGCATATTTCAATCTGAAAAAATAAATCTAATATTTAAATTTTCCTGC